AGAATGTAATCAACTTTTTTACATAAAATGAGTTATTGTAATGGAATATATTTTTAACCCCCCCACCCCTCAATAGGTATGCAGACAAACACATTGGGATTCAGCGTATAAACAGTCTGGCTGTGTGTCTGTGACTAGGCAGGAAAAATGGGTTTTGCAGGCCGGGGGAGGGGAGATAATCAGCTGTTGCATTCCCCTGCGATTGGGATACAGCAAGAGTGTGCCTGCCCATATTTAGTCAGGGCTCCTCTGTGTGTGTGTGTGTGTGTGTGTGTGTGTGTGTGTGTGTGTGTGTGTGTGTGTGTGTGTGTGTGTGTGTGCATCATGTACACCCTGCCCTGCCACACAGGTCCTCATGCAGCCGGCCCAACATCAGAACAATGTCCACAGAGCGTCTGAGTGCCAGTCAGCTAACGGACCTGAAGAGGACAGGTCTGGCATCTCATTCAGCGCACACGTGTATTTTTAACCGTCAACTTCATCGCCAAAGGATCATGAAGTGATGAAACCACTGCCAGGAACAGATGTGTCATGTCTCCGCTGCTTGTATAATAAACAGATTTCCATTCAACACGCAGGAACAGCCAAGAGTGGCTGATGTTTAGTTTGTGAGGTGACAGTATTAATGTCCTCTACTGACATAGAAAATAAATCTATGTAAAATACTCTATTCCAAGTTAAAATGTCACATTACAAATGCTATGTTAAAGTACTAAAGTATTATTGGAAAAACGTACTTAAAGTGTTAATAATAATATTCTTTCTGCAGAAAATGAAAACAACTCCTTAACTGTGTTTCTCTTTTGCAGTTCTTCACTTATCTATTTGTATTTGTTAGTAGCCTATTTTCTACTTTGCTTAGTTTATTTTGGCGAACACATTCACAATATATGCAAGTACACCATGGTTTTCCAGTAGTTTGGTAGCTTCCTATGAGGTGTTGTTTGGTTAGTTAAGGCCACCGAGGTGTTTCTGGAAGCTTTCCTGCATAAACACTGAGCTGTGCAGGCGCCTGTGGATGTGCTGTAGGTGAGCTGGAAGCACTGATGCAACGGCCCATAACTCTTATATACTGCTTATCCTTTGGAGTACAATATTTAGATTTCAATCTGCAGGGACAGGGCTCTGCAGTCCATCAGCGCTGTAAACACTGAGCTTATTTCAGGTGCTGAAGACGACGGTGGAGAAAAACAACACGCCTTGTACGGGCATAGCTAGCTAACGGTGGATGTGTGCACATATGAACAATATACACCACATGAATTATTGATTTATTATGAATTGACTTCAGAATGCACTGATTATAATGAATTGTAGATGTGTTGTTAGCTTAAGAAGTTCTGACAGGCTTGTATTATTACCTCTGGAGACGCAGGCTAGCAGTTTGCCCCTGTTTCTGTGCTGTGCTGTGATGCTAAGCTAAGTGTCCCCCGGCTGTAGATTCACATTGTCTTTCTATGTTATTAATGTGATCTCATGTTATTGTTGCCCTTTTTATCCTATGTACGTACGATTAGTGATTTAATTTCAAAGGTAATTTGTTTGTCCAAAAAAGAGCGCCATAAATTTGACTAATAAAACTGAGACCTATAATGACAGTTATGAGTTTGGTTTTACCATCACACTCTTGGCGAGACATTATTAGCTCTTGTTTTCTTAGTGAAATGACCTGCAAGTTTAACAGGCTTGAAAAGAGCTGGTCGAATTCTCTGGATGACAGGAAAGGTGCTTCAATGCTTCCTTTCTTATCTCCTTTAGCATAGGATACACTGGACCGTCCTTTACCGTCTCATCATTCCTTGCAGTTTTAAACCAATCTTAGCATCCCTGTTTGATGGTACACTATGGATAAACATGTTCTACTTTTCTATGTGTTGCTTAAAAGAAACAATGTTAAATGTCTGTTCCTTGCATCTTGTGTTAAATATCGATCCTTGTTGATGTTGCATTTGTAGCTGCTGTGATGCAAGGAACGTTTCAGACTTGACCTGACAGTAAAGTATTGTGTTTTCGTCACATTCTGCCTCTCTGTCCCTCTTGCTCTCCTCTGCCCTTGGTAACACCCCTCCCACCTGCTCACCTGTTCCCCATTTCCCTCGTTAGTCTGCAGTATATAACCGGCCTTTTTCCACTCATTCCCTGCCAGGTTGTTTGTTGCCATGCTGCTTTGGGTGCTGAACCTGCCCCCCCCCAACACTCTGATGCTGTCTGGCTCTCTGTCTGTCTGCCTGCCTGTCTCTCTGCCTGTCTGTCTGTCTGTCTCTCTGCCTGCCTGTCTGCCCGTCTGTCTGCCTGTCTGCCTGTCTCTCTGCCTCCCTGTCTGTCTGACTGTCTGCCTCTCTGCCTGTCTGTCTGCCTGTCTGTCTGTGAGCATACACCATACTTTAACATGAAATCACCTAACTGTCCTGTTCTCAGTGAAATTACCATACATGCTAATACTGTATTGCTAATTTTATTTCCATAGGTGCAATTTTTTACTGGTCGCAATTTCCTTTGGCCAATTGGAAAGTGATAAGGCAAATTGTTGAAGTGAAATGCAAGGGACTATTTATTTTAATTCTCAACACTAAGACATTAGTCCTGAAACATTTTAACTTTTTGATCCTCTTGAAGATCCAATAGAGCCTGATTTTGGTGAACATTAGAGTAATGTTTCTACAATCTTTTTTCAATTTACTTTTTTATTATTTATACTTTTTTCCAAATATTGACTGTATTTTATTTGAGCCCAGAGATGTTTTGTTCTTTGATTTACTAAAAGTAAAATTATTTCTTGTGTTGCATTAAGGTCTTAATGTCTCAGAAAGGTTGTATTGAAATACAAGCTGTACATGTATTGCAGGTGAACCCTGTGTAAGCTGAGCTCACCAAATATTACTATTACTTTTAATACTACCAGATCTACACTCACAAAGAAGACATTAAATACATTATTTTAATATTTACAGCTGTAACATGGGACAGGTCTGCTTTAAAAGTTAGTCCACTTCTGGTTGTTAAAGTGCCCGTAGTATATTCTGCCAGTTCAGACAGATTTCATAACAGAAACTGAGTCACATAGGAAGGAATGTGTGTTCAAATTGTGCAATTATTGTAAAAAACTCTTGAACATTTGGTTATTCAGCGCATGATATGAAATCCTGTGGGAAAAACACTGTGACTGTAAAGAGTAGCCACTGCGCTCATTATTTCTTATCTGTAATACGGTATAAAATAAACATAATGGTGGTGATTTCTGTTATGGGAGTTGTTTCGACTAGCAACCAGAGTCAGTGAAGTGTCTTTTTTATTTCCTCTTGTCTCTACATGATCTGTTACCCTCATTTACCTTCAGTGTCATTTGTGTGAAGCTAGGCCCAGTTTGTGTCTTTCAGCATTAAGCAACAGTTTCTATAAAGCTTCCAACATTACTAATGAAGCTCAGCGCAAGTTCAACCAGGAAGACCTTCTTTTCTCATTCATTTACTATGTCTATACTCTCTCCTCTCAATAAGTGATCGGGCGCGTCACTCCCCAGCTTAACCAATCACTTCGCTCTATTCCCACAAGCCTATCATAGCGCTCCGCTAAACCTTTGAAATCTGCTCTCCCTGTGACTCGACGCAACCCTCCTCCAACCCCTTCTTCACCTCCTGTCCCTCTGAATCCAGGGTCAAGCTAAGCCCCTCCCCTTCAGGCCAAACCCAACCATCCATTCACCACATCCAGTGTCTCGACCCCGGGGGGTTTCATCGAATCGGTTCTCCCCTCCCGAATGATACTCCCGCATAACGGGGCCTAATCGCCAAAACTCCATTACATTCATTTGTGTATTCCTGGCAATAAATATGAATTCTTCCATCAAAACCGTCTCTCCTGATTGAACTGATGTTCTGAAGATATTTCCAGAATCTTTAAACACTGTTGAAATGATTCGAATAAAGAAAATATTACATCTGTTACATGAAAGAAACTGAACTTGTCTGGTTTCAACTATATTGTATCCTGGCAGACATATCTCCTTTTTTACAGTAAATAATCAAACATGTTTTGCATGAAAATACAAATACTTCAGATACAAATTAATAATCTTATTTCGGCATTCAGCAGAAAGAATATATTTTCCAGATGGCGAGCAGGTTGTTTAATTATTCAGGTAAGACCTTCAGAACTGCTATACATGTTGTTAAATAACCTTTTATGTTTTGGAAACATCACAAGGGACATTTTTTTAATTAATTATTTTAGAAAACACTGATGCTTAGCCCGTCGAAGGTCCAAAAAGTGTTTTTCTGGGATACTTCTCGCATAGTATTTTGAGTTGTGCATTTCATTTAGAGTGCCTCTGAACCATAGAGACATTCTGATATACATATAAGGTTGATTTAGACTGAGTGTAGCTGTGATGCTGACTTTTTCTAGGATGATGCTGTGATGCAGCAGTAGTCCGAGCATTTACCACAGCTTCACCCTGCGCAGCCGGACAGAGCAGCTGCAGCTGTGCTCACAGCCAGTGGCAATACACTGTCGGCCTTTTCAAAGGAGTATTGAGCTATAAATGCCTCATATAAAATGTCACATTGTCCCTCCTTTCTCTATAATCTGCAGAGCATTCTCCTAAACTAGCAGTATATTGTAACTGACCTGATATGACACAGTAGCTGTTTCCATGAATCAGGGTGGAAGCAAACTATAAAAGTTCAGGAAAATATTTGGACCATCAGGTGCTCAGAAGCTTTGTGACTAATGCATGAGTCGTACAAACTAGGGTTAGGTTGAATAGTCATTGTTTCTTACACATTTAGTTGCACATGGGTCACTTTCAACACTCTCTTGCACTGTTTTATTTCTATTCTGTTTATTTTCTAACTATTTGTATTGTTTTATGTCTTATATATATTTATGTTGCATTGTTGAAGGACCTTTGGACTCAAGTTTTTCATTGCCAAAATACACCAAAGCTATATGTCAACAAAACCTTTGAATCTGTTTTTGTTCTGCTTTGAGCCCTTGCTTACCGGGAAGCAGCGATTTCTGCCTTCTGCTTGCCGATGGCAGCGGCCCTCTGAGCGCCCTCCACCGCCCGCTCCACCTTCTGCTTGATCTTGGTTCCCTTCAGCTGGATCATCCTCTTCTTCACGGCCTTCACCAGCAGGTTGTTCATGTACTTGCCTTCCTCCTTCCCTCCCTCGGCGAAGGTGGTGCAGCCGTAACCGTGTCTCTGGTTGTTCATCCACTCGCCCTCGAACTTCAGCCCGCTGGACCTTTCGCTTATTCCATATCCCGAGCGCTTGTCGTTCTTCCACTCGCCCATGTAGACCTCAGTGGTGGTGGCGTCGATGTCGGCCTCCAACGGGGGGAAATCCTCCGCCCCGGCGAGGCTGTCGTCCCCGATGCTGATGGTGGAGTGGGTGTCGCTGGCGTTGGAGCTCAGAGCCGATTCGGTCCTCAGGAAGCTGATCTTGCTCTTCTGGCTGGACAGCGAGGTACTTGACTCGGACTTCTTCAGCTTACCCAGCAGCGAGCCTCTTCGAAACAGGCCCTTCTTCTTGGGTTTCACCGCCTCTGGGTCCACCTGGAGCGTGAGGGCGAAGCCTCCACGGGACGGTCCCAGCTGGGTGGGGGTGGTGACGTGTGTCTCCTCTCCTGAGGCGTTGGTGGTGGTGATGGCGGGGATGTCTTGCTGTAGGACGGTGCCGTTGCTGTGTTCGCTGCGAAGGGAGGTCAGGGAGGTACGAAGAGGGGAGCGGACAACTGCTGCCATGCCATAAGGGACACTCTGCCGGACGCCATAGCCATGCCGCATCCCGCCTGTGAACTGACCCTGGAAAGTACCTGGAAACATCAGAAAACAGGAAGTTATACTTTTCTACCTGCAACACAGGCCAGGATACTTTTTACAACAGTGTCAGCAATGTCCGTCTCGGAGTTGGTTTTCAAACCTCTTCGGTCCATACTGAAATATCTCAACAACTATGAGATGAATTGCCATGAAATTTGGTAGAAACATTTACTAAACCCAGGGGACGAATCGTGATCATTTTGGTGATCCTCTGACTCGTTTTCTACCGCCACCAGCAAGTCAAAGTTGAAATCTACTGGACGGATTGGTGTAACATTTCTATGGTTTTCTAAATAGTATAAAAAAATGTGGCTTTTCATCTAGTGCAATCATCAGGGCACACTTTCTATTAGTTGAGGACATTTCCATTAGCCTCAACTGTACTTTGTTAGGTGCAAATTAACAAATGTTAGCATGCTAACATGCTAAACTAAGATGGGTAACAGGGTGACTATTATGCCTGTTAGCATTGTTGTTATGAGCCTGTTAGCATTGTAATTGTGAGTATGTTAGCATGCTAATGTTAACATTTAGCCTACAGCGTCGTTAAGCTGCTAGCTTGGCTGTAGACTTTTAAACATGGCTTGGAGCTAAAATAGTGCACTCCATATAAAACTGCCCTTCCTTTATTTCTGCCCACATGTCATGGATATCTCTAGTGTGAAAAGTTCATTAATGCTCTTACTGAAAAGTCATCTTGAGGTCTGCTCTCATGCTATAATTGACACGAGTGTGGATTATAGTGACAGCTAGGCCTCAGCTGAGGGGCCAGGAGGGGCTATTATTACATCCTGACATGTGGCGCTATCACATCCCCCCTCGACTTCCACTAGGCTGGACTTCAAAGCTGATGAGTCAGCTGGCAAAAAGGGGAACCACTGATACGTTACAAGTAGAGATCACTGCGATCAATTTGATATTCTCACCTATTTAGTTTCCTCTACAATAAATTAATGTGCTGGGGGATATCATTGCACCAGAAGCTTTGAGAGAATATCGAAGGATTAAAAACTCAAGGCGACTTCCGATGTTCAGGATTGTTTGTAATGACACCTAAGGTTATCTGGATGTTATCTAGTCTGCCTATTAAAAACAGTTAATTCAGTGTTTGAAATCGAAGACATACATTTACTCAAGTACCATTTTTAAGGTACTTTAAAAGGACTGCAGAGCCCTGTCCCTGCAGATTGAAATCTAAATATTGTACTCCAGAGGATAAGCAGTAAGAGTTATGGGCCATCGCACCAGCTACAGTACTTCCCTATATTTTAGAGTTAATTGTTATACATTTAAATTCACTACATTCATCTCATTGTATAGTTAAAAGTCATTTTCCAGATTATGGTATAATATGCACAACAAGAACTGATTAGAGCGTAAAATATTATATTATTTTTTATGGACTTGACTATGCAACACATACCTAGCCTATACTGTACGTAGTCAATAGTATCTTAAACAACATGAACGTTCTGCTAATCAGTTGCCTAATTGTTAGTTAGTTATCTATAATAAGATTCAAATAACTCAACAAAGGTGCCATGTCTCTGCATAATCAGTACTTCCACATCATTGAGATAAAGATAGTTCAAGTAGAGTTTTGAACATAGGGCCTCTTCTAGTGACAGATTGTTTCTAAATGTCAGGATTCCTACTTTTACTTCTGTAAATGTTTTCCACCACTGGTGTTGACGGTGTAGTTTAACGAAATGGAAAGAATCCTGCAGGGTTTGATTTCCTGCGAGCTCTTCTTGACTGACAGCAGCAGGGAGATATTTTCTTCTGGTTACGCACAGACATCACAAACGAACATGAGGATCACAGACTGTTCTGTTTGTAATATGTCTGCACATCGCCTGCAATGAACTTGGTGCATTCGACCATTTGGCCACACTTGGCTTGAGGGGTCTTAATGTTGCATGACTTAGTTATCAGGATTTAGTTTCAGTACTTTTACATTAACCGCACTGTAGTGTAACTCAGTAGGGGAACACATATTTGTACATGACTGTACTTACACAAATACTTTTGATTCCTTTTTTACTTCTGTATATTTACTCTGTTACTTTATTCATTTGACTTCACTACATTTATCGGACAGGTGTTCTTTGCAGGTTTGACACAACTTCTGATCAACAAGGACATATATTGCTATATTGGTTTAGGTAAAGTAATTGGGAGTATTTAGGAGTCAGTTATACTAAAGTAAATGATCTCAATGCTTCCTACCATTGCACAGGTCTGCAGCTGCAAATGTATGCAACGTCTATGTAAGTAGTGGAGAGTAACTACATACATTTACTTTAGTATTAAGTACTTATACATTTTATTTTTTATTATTATTTCAGAATTTATATTTGATACTACTACTTCATTCTTCTACAACACTTCAGAGGCAGACATTGTATTTTTTATTCCCCTAAATGTATTTGATATCTCGTACTTTTTAAATTGAGAATGTAAAAATATTGCCATAAAATTAAAGCCCATGTTTAACTATAGCTGCCAATCAGTATGGTATAAAAAGTACTAAATTCAATGATTACATAAAAGGATAATGTAATTCATTTCATTGTAACAGTTTGTAAAAATGTGTTCCACTCCACCTTAATTAAATGCAAATAATTACTTAGTTGGTTAATTTACATTTTGCATGCAGAACTTTCACTTGTCACTAAGTATTTTTACATTTTAGAAGCCCTGTCATCACTTTTAAGTATGTTCTTTACTGGTGTAATCCATTCCTCTACATTTCAGAGGGAGTAACGACTTGTTCTTTAGGGCACAGTTTTCTGTCGCACTATAACAAAGTTTTGAATCTGGATCTCACCTCCATCAGCATATGTCTCTGTTCCATATCCATCCTGAAGCCCATTATTCCAAGTCCCTTCATACTTTGCTCCACTGCCCACACTGATCCGGATGCCATATCTCCCTTTGAAGCCATGAGTCCATTCCCCTTTGTAAATCCAGTGTCCTTTGGTTTCTACTCCCAGGCCGTGACGCTTGCCCTGCGACCAGTACCCCTCATAGGTGTTTCCACTGGGCCAGGTGTAGACCCCCACCACCTCGAAACCGTAGTTCCAGGATCCGGAGAACTCGCCCTGGCCTTTGGGTCCGGTGCAGATGCCATGGCCGTGGGCTTTTCCCCCCTCCCAGCCGCCACAATAAGCCCCACCGTCGTCAAACTCAAAGCGACCTCCACTCATGCCTCACCCGAAGTGCGCAGCGATCAGAAAGTAAAGTTTGTAGTCTGTTTCGTGGCTAAAGATACCGTCAGTCTGACTTCACCTTCACCTGACATCAAAACCGTCTGCAGATATCCTTGGTGCTGAACTTAAGGGGGTTTCTTCTCTTGGAGTTGGTTTGGGTAGTTTTACGTGTCCATTAAGCTCCGGGACGCACTTCTTCATACAAACTTCAATGTGTCCTCTTTTACTCCAGTGTCTTCTTAGGTCAATCTTCTGTGTTGCAAATTTGGATGATAAATCGAATTATTTTCTTCTGTCTTGACAAGCCACTGATCTTACATGGCTTTTTCCAGGGGGCCACAGAGAAAAGCCCCTTTCCCCTGTCCCTGCCACCCAGCTATCTCCTGACAGTCGCTGCTGTTGGGAAATATTTCAGCAGACCTAACAAGGCGACCAATCCACACACACACACCCTTCCAAAAATACAACCCAATCCTTACTCTGCTGCCTGCAAGGAGCTATGCCAGAGTCTTGCCACCTCGGGGCTGAACTATACATGCCATTCAGGACTCAGCTCTCTTTACATTTTCCCTACAGTTAATGCAGTAATTATTCTCTAATAGGCTATTAAGCTTGACGAAAGGGCCCAAGTATAGATCTCTGTAATTTCACATTGATTTCCCTACCTGGTTTCATATATCTTATAATACTATTTCTACATTAGGAAATTACAGCCTGTGCGTCCGTTATTAAAATATTATTTTTGACCCTGTAGTACCATGAGTAAATCAATATATTTTCATAATCATACATATATATGTATGATTATGAAAATATATTGATTTACTCATGGTTCAGTCCTATGTCATTATTGACCTATAGTGTGATTTATACATTGTTTAATTATAGAATCTGAATAAATCAATATATTTTCATAATCAGTCAGATTTATTATTATTATTTTTGCTGGGTATTGCATGAGCCTAAATGCAAAATATTCAATTTACTGCCAATATGTCAATTAATAATGGTTTATTTCCATTTTCCATTGCAACCTTATTAAATGTACCAACAGTATGAGTTAATGTTTGCATTATGGGATGTATAAGAAATCTAGTGTAAGCTATTTCAATCTTTTTACTCCCCCTGCTGGGGAATACATGTAACTGCATCATATCTTTTAATTTCATTAGGAATACATAAATAGGAAGAAATTACAACTTGTTTTTACATTTATTGCTATTTTTTTGTATAGTCAGTCCAACTTGCACACGTAAAAAACGTTACTTAAAAAAATATGTAGATATAAAAAAACTGTATTGGTTCTTCTAAGAATCCCTTATAAATGGCCTAAAGGTGCTTTTAGCAGACTAATATGCTTACATTGTCAAAATGTTTTATGTTACTATTATTGATAAAGAAAATTGTATTGCATTTTTCTGACTGGTGGAGGTGGAGCTATTTTTCCTGCTTTATATTTTAATTCAGAAGAATGAAGCAGGTAAAAGTAGGTTATGATTAAAAGTAGGCTACTTCCCATCACAGAAATGATGGACATTTATGTTCCAAATTGGCAATCTGTCGGCATTTTCTTTTTTCTTTTTTGTTATCTTTCTCCAGTTGTAGTATTACTTGTTAAACGATGTGACCCTGTAGTCTTCTGCTAGCCTGCATGTCCTTTCAGAGAGCAGCTTGACCTTCCACTGAAACCTCGGTGAGATGCACCGCGCATGTTTGTGCATCATGTGATGTCACGCGGTTACACATTGATTTAATGTTGGTGCAGCAGCATGCTCGAGTAAGAAGCTATTTGCATATGGATTTAAAAAAATGATTTGGGTCTGTATTCATTTCGAGGTGCAGGCGGTCTCAGCACCGGCGCTGTCCGAACCTGGCGGTGCTGCTGTTGCGTGAACAGACGATGCTGAGCGGCTGAAATCCTCCCTCTCTTTCTATCTCTGTTTCTCTCCCTCTCTCTCTCCTCTTCTCTCCCTCCTCCTCCTCCTCGCTCCTCTCCTCTCTCCACACGCACAAAACGCTCTGTCATGGCGTCTTCCAACCATGTTACCCCCACCAACTGTAGCTGGTGGCCCATTTCAGCCATGGACGAAGACGACAAAATCACAGACGGGGAGGAGAGCGAGGAACCGACGGCAGAGCCCAAACCCTTCAACAAAGACAGGCTCGTTTTGTACCACTGGACGCAGTCTTTCACCTCCCAAAAGGTAAGGGCAAAGGAGGGAGAGCTGTGCATGAAAATGGAGGTGGATCCACGTCCCTTTGCATGATGCTCCAGCTTTCAGCTCCTTGTGTGTGTTTGTTATGATCCAAACATGTTTTCCAGTGCATGTGTATTCCTGCACACCCCTCCGGAATATGAGCGTGACCATGCAGCTGGGCAGATCTCCCGTTTGGGAAAAGCGCTGCAGCATGGGGGCTCATCTCCTCGACATACAGCAGAATAAGTGATCGATATTATGTGTATTTACCCCTGCATGAACCACCCCTCGTATACCTCATCAGCTCCAAAGACACGTTGAAGATGTGTCTCCTCAGAGCTGGTGAATGTGGCTACTACCCATAGGTGCTCTGACACATGACATCCTAAATAATTGATTCAAATGATGTGCAAAACAAACTAAAGGCCATCTCCCCCCATCTGCATCCCAACCATAGTATGTGTTGGTATTTAAGGGCTTAGTTGGGTCTACCTTTGGTTAGTGTAGCATACTTTCATATGACAGTGTGTGGTCTATTCAAAACAACGAAAGCATTATTATCCACAGGGCATCTACTGTTGCATGCATTATGCATAAATTAAGTACACTACTTCGTCCAAACATGGCGTATTGAACTTTGACCTATTGCTCATACATCTGATGCGCAAATAATCGTGGGTTCAGAAAAGCATGCACGCAAATACTGCAAAAATGTGACCGGGTGCACAAGGATATCCTGGTATTTCTGTCATACTGCAGGTGACATACCAAATATTTTTCCTGGAATACAATGCATGTTTCTGATTGGATGTGGAGTTTGAGAGACATGATATTAACCAGAGAGAAAGGGTCTAATAGAGAGCCAAAGTAGCTGATGGTGAGCCCAAAGTATTCTTATATAACGCAAACTAAAATATATTCCTATTTCTGGTGTGTTCTCCTACAAATGTCTAGCCACACCTGTCAAATTACGTGAGTTACGAGTTTTCTAAATAATCTTCCGTCTCTACAGGAAACAACTTGTCATTTAGGCTTGGTTTAGGCAGCGAAATAAATTGTTGAGGTTTAGGAATTTTAAATAACTACGGAAGTGACGTTACTCGGCCATGTGAGATATAACCAAGTTCTGGTTTCACACGGGACACAAATAGTGGTGTTTTTGGACCCGTGCATCAACCCAATCATCCACCATGATCTCCTCCAATTGCAGACTGTGTTGCACCTTACACTTCCTGGTACAGTCACGAGAATACATATGTATTGATTTTGTTGGATATACACAAATTAGATTTCAGTAGTATAGCTTCAAACAGTATATGAGACCAGCCTGAACAGAGAACAGACTTCGGAACAGTAAACTCTGTCAGTCAAACTGGGGTTGTAGGATTTAAAGATATCATACATGACATTTGAGGGTTTAGTGCCAGGACCCGACATCAGGTCCCGTGTAATGTCTCCAGCTTCAAAAAGTCAATGTTTTTTCTCATTCAGCATTTTTATTTCATTATCATGTTCATTGCCAATACAAGCTGGCACTACTCCACTACAGCAGTTGCTAATAGAAACTAAAAGTCTTTGTAATTTCACTTTGAGACTATAGAAAAAATACAGCAACAACAAGCACGGGTATATGTCACCATAGTTTTGAAAACCAGTATCCATAAAATGTATTATCGCAATAGTTACATTTTGTATGCAGAAATACAGAGTACAGTGGGGCAAAAACGTTTTTAGTCAGCCACCAATTGTGCTAGTTCTCCCACTTAAAAATATGAGAGAGGCCTGTAATTTTCATCCTAGGTATACCTCAACTGTGAGACAAAATGAGAAAAGAAAATCCAGAAAATCACATTGTCTGATTTTTGAAGAATTTATTTGCAAATTATGGTGGAAAATAAGTATTTGGTCAATAACAAAAGTTCATCTCAATACTTTGTTATATATCCTTTGTTGGCAATGACAGAGGTCAAACGTTTTCTGTAACTCTTCACAAGGTTTTCACATACTGTTGCTGGTATTTTGGCCCATTCCTCCATGCAGATCTCCTCTAGAGCAGTGATGTTTTGGGGCTGTCGCTGGGCAACACGGACTTTCAACTCCCTCCAAAGATTTTCTATGGGGTTGAGATCTGGAGACTGGCTAGGCCACTCCAGGACCTTGAAATGCTTCTTACGAAGCCACTCCTTTCGTTGCCCGGGCGGTGTGTTTGGGATCATTGTCATGCTGAAAGACCCAGCCACGTTTCATCTTCAATGCCCTTGCTGATGGAAGGAGGTTGTCACTCAAAATCTCACGATACATGGCCCCATTCATTCTTTCCTTTACACGGATCAGTCGTCCTGGTCCCTTTGCAGAAAAACAGCCCCAAAGCATGATGTTTCCACCCCCATGTTTCACAGTAGGTATGGTGTTCTTTGGATGCAACTCAGCATGAGTTTTTACCAAAAAGTTCTATTTTGGTTTCATCTGACCATATGACATTCTCCCAATCCTCTTCTGGATCATCTAAATGCTCTCTAGCAAACTTCAGACGGGCCTGGACAT